GGTTTAACAGCTTCTGCATCCTCATTTAGCTTCTTTACTCTAATCATGAATAGTTCCATATCATCAAGTCCGTGCTCAAAGTTCCTTTCTTTTGGTCCTGGACCTCCAACCCAATGTAAATCATATTCTTCGAGGAATTGTTTCATTTCATTAATCCTTTTTTGTATTGCAGCGTTTTTCTCTCGCTGTTCACATATCTGATTTTGAAGATTTGTGATTTCTTCTGATTGTTTATGAACAAATTTTTCCAATTTTGCACAATGAGCAGCAGAATCCTCTTTTGGAGGATGTGCAGCTGGTTTTGGATGTATTAATGGTATTGTTGGATGTATTTTAGGATGCATTTTTTTGAGTTCGTTATAAATTCCGTAGATATTGAAAAAAAATTGAGATTATTCAAAAATTTACACGGAATAATTTTTATATAAAAAAATTTATGATTGGATACATTATTATAGCTTACATATTGTTTATTGCATTTGCCACATTCGTAATGATATATGGTAACAACAGCTGTGTTAGAAATACATTTATTGGCTCAATTTACAGATTTTTCGCAAATACACTTCCGAATTGGTTCATTGCAAAATATAAAAAGATATTTAATATACCAGATTCACCGGACCATAATGATACATGCATGGGTAAGAACGGTCCTTGCAGATATTTCATTCTAATAAGTTTCGCATTACTTTATGCAGGTTTAGTTGCTGATTATTGGTTTTGCACATATCCATATATTCATATTTTCTACAAAAATCTGTTCCTTCATAAGATTTTAAGCGTTGTTTTACCTGCAATTCCTTGGATAATTATAATTGCTCTTCAATTTTTAGATCCTGGCGTTATCACTTCCAAAAATGTTATCGGATATATGAAGAAATACCCATTCGACTTCATTCTTTACAATCACAAAGTTTGCAGAACACTTCACATCCCAGCCGTTGCAAGATCTCGCTACTGCAACTATACACAGCGTCGAATTGCCAAATACGATCACTATTGCCCATGGGTAGTTGCTTCAATTGGCGAAAGAACCCATAGATGGTTCTTATTATTTTTGGTTGGCTGCGTTGTGGCATCAGCATATTATTTGTATGCTGATTTGTATGTTACCTTCTTGATCATGTATGCTTATTATCAAAAAATTAAATGGACCAATAGTTTTAAGGTCAATGCACAGATTTTTGCTGTTGTTCTCATAAAAGAACAGAAGTTCAACGCGTTCTGTGAATTTTTGTTCTTTTTCATAATTATTTTCCTCGTAATTTTCATCGGACAACAAATTTACTTCATTTCCACAGGAAGGACAACAATTGAACTTGACAAGTGGGGTGATTATTATTACAAGCATCGGAATGATAAATCTAAGAAACCAGTTAAAAATATGTATGATTATGGCTTTATACATAATTGGAAAGAATTTCTCTTCCCAGAACCTGTTCCTGAATGCGAAGAATGGGTTCCAGATAAATATTGGAAGAAGATTATTGAAAATGAAGAAAAACGTCGAAAAGAATTGAACTCAAAACCGAAAAATGAGTAATATTTCAGGAAATATAAATATATAATATGTTTGCATACATCAATTCTTTAAAAACTTAATTTTTATTTTAATTTTACTTTTATTTAGATCTAGTTCTCTTCTGAACTTCAAAATGACGCCTTTGCATTCTATGAAGTAGTTCAAATTTAACATTCTGAGAATGAACTCGATCATTAAGCATAAATTCAATGTAGCATTATTCATGATAATACTTTCAATCAGCTTTGGCAGGTGTTCATTGAAATAACTATTGCATCGTGATTTAAAATCAGTATTGATTAGAAAATTTATAATTGAAACTTAACAAATTGCAGATATCATTAAAAACACTTAATTCACTCATATTTATGGCTGGCGAATGCATATCAACATTAAACCAAAATTAATGAGATAATATTTCAAGAACAGTTCTTTTTGAGAAAAACGAAAATAAATCTTTAAATGGACATTTATTTAAATCGAAGCAAGATAAAACATGATTGCTACATAAAAAATATTATTAATTTTAAAATAAAAATTGGAAATGATTTATTTCAATGAGTTCTTTATAAAATAATCCAGTTGGTAGATTGGTATTTTATTTACTGCTCCTGAGCAACATGCTTACGAGCTTGGTTGAGGATTTCGATGTTTAATTCCTGAGCTTTCTTGATGATTTCTTGCTGAAGCTTAGCACTAACCTGAGCAGAGATCATTGCTCCATGTGTTGTATTCTTTGTAAGTAACATGTCGAGATCTTTGAGTGAGCGAACGATAACTGGGATGAAGCCGTTTGGAAGCATGAATCTTGTTTCCTTATCAGAGCCAAAACCAGCACTTGGGTGGAGTGGTGTGCCACGATACTTCCTGCGGAAACGAGAATCGATACCACGTGGATGGCGCCAAGCGGAAGGAACACGCTTCCAGAGATCGGACTGTGGGCGGTGGAATCTGTTTGTCTTCTTGTGGATGATTGGCTTGTGTTCAGCTGGATTTACCATTCAAAAGGCAGACCAAAACCGCTTCCATGACGATAATAATTTTTCAAAATTAACAATCCTCCAAAATTATTTCTAATGATTACATATCCTTCAGAATATATAAATTTCATTTCATTTTCATAAAAACGCTTTTTAAAAATTTTGATCTCAAAACAAAAATGGAGTAAAAACACCATACACTTAAATCCTTTCTTCATTACTAAGGATTAATCATAATTCTTATTGATACATTCATTTTGATACAATATATGAATTTTTCACTTATCAATCCTATATTTACTGCTTAAATGAAGTGTATGTAGTTTAATACATTTTGTTTCGATAATAGCAGCTAATGAAGGTATTTTCATTGCATTATGTCCTCTTCTTCAATGCAATCAAAAGATCTTTCGATGAATATACATGTTTAACTTAGAACTTTGTAAGGAGCCAATGTGTAGGCTTACTATGTGTTGCTTTGACTAATGGTTGAAGGAAAACTAAAGAAATGTGTATTTTGATATATAAAAAATTTTTTAAAGCATTAGTTTCCCTTTCAAAGATACTTGACTTTCAAAATAATTTTCATTATGATATAAATTTTAATACTTTATTAAATTGATTATCGGCGTGCAGCACCAATATAGGAGGAACGAAATTTGAATTGAAAAAACGGTTTTACTAGGCCTTTCTATCTGATGTCCACTGTTCAGACAGAGCGCGCTTTCCAGAAGCAGCCACAACTCTTCCTTGCCTCCAAGAAGCATGCCAATGCTGAGAAGAAGCAGCGTTACGTTAAATCCATCGGTCTCAAGATCGAAACACCAAAGACAGCTGAAGAGCGCGAATACATCGATGCTAAGTGCCCATTCACAGGCACAGTCTCCATCCGTGGCCGTGTCCTTCGTGGTGTCGTCGTTTCTACAAAGATGCGCCGTACAATCATCATCCGCCGCGATTACCTTCAGTGGATCCGTAAGTACAAGCGTTTCGAGAAGCGCCACACAAAGATCCCAGCACACATCTCACCAGCATTCCTCGTCAAGGAAGGCGATCTTGTTACAGTCGCTGAATGCCGCCCACTCTCCAAGACAGTCCACTTCAACGTTATCCACGTTAAGCCAGCTGCTGTCGGTGCTGACAAGAGACAATTCCGTGTCTTCTAAAACTATTACTTAATTCTTTTAGAGAAGAATTAATTTTAATTCTTTTTTTTATTATTATTTCAAGTATACATGGCCCAATGAAGGTAAATTGTATGGCTCAATTGAATGATTTTACAATTGCTATGACAGCAAAGAGAAATTCTATATATGAAATGCTCAACTATGATAGCTATGTTTGGTATCTTTATTTCTTGTTTTTTGTAAAAATTATTTTGATATAATTTGAAGAACAAAACTTTTTAATTGTTAACATGGTAATTACCTCTCTGACAAAATAGATGCATCTTCAAAATGTAAACATTGAATGAATGGAGCCATATGTGATTTTATTTCTGATATATATGTCTGATCTCTCAAAATTTGAGTCAATTGAAAGATTTACGTGCGAAGAATATGATTTCAAGCTGAATCTGTCTCCTTAAAACCGGACCTACTTAGACATTAAATTCGAAAATTTGATGATATTGTATTTCTCAATTTCTATTTTTTATCAATAAAATAAAAATTATCAAACGTACAATTATTTTGATTCAAACGCTGTTCGGCATTAGAATCAAAAATAATCTTTAGTATGATAATTACACTTTTATTGCATTTTTAACAGGCTTCACGCCTGTATACAATTGAAATAGACCTACCTTTATAAATAGCAGTGAATTTATAAATATATGGCAAATTAGCTGATGATTTTGAAAAAATAACATGATACATATAAGAAATGAAAAATATTGATTTGTTTCAGTTCCATCTTAATGATTAAATAAAATATGGTATGTTAAATCATTCATAACCCGAAAATTTGACAATAGCATTCTCAAATTTGAGAACTTTACAAGCCGCAAAATCCCCACAAATGTAAACAGTTTACGAATGTAAAGTTTATTTTTAGAAATTGACAAAATTCACAGGCGTTCCCTCCCGCAGCAAAATTGAGCGAAAATACGGTTTAGGAGCGAATTTTTTTAACTATAACATAGTTTCAATTTTTCTGTATCGGACGCAAAGGATATGATTTCAAGCTTACCTTATGATAATATCGAATCAAATTATGACTAGGATATCTGATATTTTCTTAACTATCTTTACGCAATCTCACTTCGGATTAAATGCTGGATGGATGTAACAATTCTAGATTTTTTTTAATCAATACTGTCACAAAAAATTTTACAAAGCATGTCAAGTTCTGATTTTAGTGACATTAAGCCAATTGAAATATTTAAATACCATAGTCAAACATCAAAAATTATTTGGGGTGTCAATTCCAATAATATTTTACAAGTATCTTCGCAAATTATAGAATTTATTACAAATAACAAAATTCCTATACAAATGTCACTTTATTTGATTGATATTTTTCCCCAAATGCGTGACAAAGATATTAAATTATTTACAGAACTTTATCAAAAGATATCAAACGAATTTTCATGCATCAGTAAACCGAAAAATGAGAAATTGACGACGCTTCTGCATTATAAAGGTTTCAAATTCGAAAATTTCGAACCTAAAATGACAGAAGAAGAAATCCTCAATTTGTATTCAACAGAATCTCCTTTATACTATATTGCATGGGATAAAGTTGATGAACTTGAATCTAAATTCTCAAACCTTGATATTGATCAGAAAATTAATGAAATCACACCACTTGATTGTGCAATTAAATATGGATCAGAATTGTGTTTCAATTACTTGAAAATTTTAGGTGCTAAATACACTTTTGAATCGGGAAAATATGCTGTTCAAGCCGGAAATAAGAACATTTTTATGCAAATGATAGCAGAAGGTAATTCATTTAATAACATGATTAGTACAGCATTGGATTATCATAACTATGAAATTGCTGAGTACTTTAAATCAAATTTTGGACAAACTAATTATTCAATAGCAGAAAGTATGCATTTCGGAAATTATGAAGTTGCATCTTATTTACTTACTCATGGAGGAATTATCAACATACGCTATAATCCTTTTCTTTTCATGTTTATCATTGATTTATGAAATTATCATTCTTTTCATATTTTTCATTGTTTTTTGAAATTCTCTCAATATTAATGAATAGTATTGCAATCAAAATGAATGCAACAGATATTGTCAAATTCTTAGTTGAACATGGTTCTGATGTTAACACAAAACTTGTTCTCTTTCTTTTCATATTTTTCATTGTTTTATGGAATTCTCTTTCTTTTCATATTTTTTATTGTTTTATGCTATTCTCATTCTTTTCATAATTATCATTGTTTTATGAAATTATCTTTCTTTTCATAATTATCATTGTTTTATCGAATTATATTTCTTTTAATGTTTATCATTGTGTTTTTTGTATTCTTTTTTCTTTCATATATATCATTGGTTAAAACAATTATTATTCTTTTCATATTTATCATTGTTTTATATAATTCTCTCTAGATTAATGAATGCCCTCTCAGTATTGCAATAAAAACAAATTCAACTGAAATCGTCAAATTCTTAGTTGAACATGGTTCTGATGTTAATATGAATCTTACCCTCTTTCTTTTCATATTTATTCTTGTTTAATGGAATTATCTTTGTCTTCATATTTTTCATTGTTTTTTGGTATTCTCTGAATATTAATGAATGTCCTCTCGGTATTGCAATCAAAATGAATTCAACAGATATTGTCAAATTCTTAGTCGAACATGGTTCTGATGTTAACATGAAACTAGTTCTCTTTCTTCTCATATTTATCAATGTTTTTTACAGTTCTATTTCTTTTTATGTTTATAATTGTTTATAAAATTCTCTGTCTTATCATATTTATCATTGTTTTATTACATTCTCTTTCTTTTCATATTAAATATTGTTTTATTACATTCTGTCTCTTTTCATATTTACCATTGTTTTATTACATTCTCTTTCTTTTCATGTTTATCATTGTTTTATCAAACTATATAAGGGTTTCGTTTTGCTAAAATTGTCACTTTTATAGCATATTTGTTTTTGGATGTTTTGCGAAACCAAAAAAAAAACTATGATATACAATGTGTGTGTAAAGAAAATACTTTATTTACTAGTTAAAAAATCATTTGGTATTGATCAAGTTATTTTTTCTGGATAAGATATTATATGGATAATTGGATAGAAAATACAATTATATAATCTTGTACCTGGTTTAATTAAGCTAATTGTCATCAGAAACTTGTAATTTTTATGAATTTCAGATTTTCTTTTCATTACTGCTTTTCTTAATAGGTCAAGTTCTTATTTACGTTATAAAGTATGATATTTACAAATATCAAGTTATCATGTTTTTTGAGAAATTATGAGAAACAAACAAAAATGAAAAAGATAGGAATAGCAATGAATAGTGATGTGGGTATAGAAAATGTAAGAGATATGAATGCAAAGCAATCAGTATTTAGGATATTGACCATAGATTTCGAAAAAAAAAATGCTGCATATTGAGCGAAAACTATGATTATATTATAAGGCTGTCATTTAAAGCATAATGAAACTATTCCCTTTTCATTTTAATCGAATAAGATAGTAAAGATTTTTGAATTAGCTAGAAACTGATGAGATGTTTTCACAAATCAGATTTTTAATCTCTATAATGCATAATTCACTCAATATCTCAATTTTGATATTGCGAGAAATTTTTGCTATCGGTTTCGCAATTTTGACACAATAGCAAGAGGGTTCTATAAGCATTATTATCAACGTAGAATCTGAATATCATATCAGAAAATGTCGCAAATCTGACATTTACCCGACCAAATAGCAAAAATAATTGAATACTTTTCGCAAAAACTTTAAAAATCGATAAAAATATGAAATATAGATATTAAAGAGACTTTTTATATAATATTCATAAAGATTTTCCAAAAATATGATACCGCAAAATTAAAAAAGTGACGTCTTGAGTGGAGTCAAAGGTCGAAATTGCTAGCTAAATGTTTTTTTAGCGAAATTGCGTATTGTACGTTTTTTTCGCAAAACGAAACCCTTAAACTATATTTTTTTTTATGTTCATCGTTGTTTTATGAAAATCTCTTTCTTTTCATGTTTATCATTATTTTATATAATCATATTTCTTTTCATGTATATCAATGTTTTATTATATTCTCTTTCTTCTCACATTTATCATTGTTTTATTCAATTGTCTTTCTTTTCATATTTTCCTTGAATTTATGGTAATCTCTTTCTTTTCACATTTTCATTGTTTTATGCTATTCTTTTTCTTTTCATATTCAACATCGTTTTATAAAATTCTATTTCTTTTATATTTTTCATTGTTTAATGCTATTCTATTTCTTTTCATATTTATCATTATTTTATAGAATTATATTTCTTTTCATTTTTATCATTGTTTAGTAGTATATGTTGACGGGTTTTTTGTGACTTTTTTTGTAAACGTAAGAATTCATACATTTTTGAGCGATTTTGTATCATTTTTTTTTACATATGAAGTAAAAAATGTATGATTTTTACGGTTTTTATTCTTACGTTTTTGAATAAATCAAGATTTAAAAATTTTCAGAATCGTAAGAAATTTTCACTAAACCCATACATAATGAAATAAAAAAAAATAAAAAAAATAAAAAAATAAACTTTAAAAATTCATGTCTTACATTTTTTGAATAATTTATTTTTTTAATTCGTATGAAAATGAGTGTCAAGACTAACGACGTTAAAAAATTGGGATTCACAAACGAGGAAATAAAGGATATATTAGAGGAGGCGAGTTATGAAGTTAATAAATATTATTTAAGAAATTGTCAAAAATTCGCGGAGTTATTAAATGATTTAGATTATGATGGAAAAATGAATAAAGATGATGTTATAAATTTCTTATATCCCACATCTGAAGAAGAAAAACCTAAAGAACCTGATGTTTTCCCTGAATATTATGAAGAACGGATTAAAGATGATGAATATGATGAAATTGAAAGACTGGAAAAAATAAGAGATGAAATAGATGAAAAAATTAAGGAATTAAGAGAAGTTGAAAAATATAATGAGAATGAAGTAGAGGGTTTAATGAATATCCCAGCTTCAGAATCAGAAGTTCAAAAATCTCATGAAGAAAGATATAAAAATTACTTTTTGGAATCTACTAAAAATTTATTAGATGGTGAAATAGATGAAACACTTTCAGAAGAAGGCACAAAATTTATTCATAAACATAAGTTACAATTTATTGACGATGGAGATTATCCATGTATATTACTTTCACCTCCTCTTGATTCTGAAAAATTCAAAAAAGCACTGAAAAATGTAACATATGCAACAAATACGATTAAGAAAGAAGACCATGATATTTACACAAATTATTATTTAAATAAATGTACAGGTGTTGATAAAGTTTTTGATTTGTTAGATAAAATATCAAAAGAAACAATTGGTACATATAAAATTTTATGCGATTGTGGTTTCATTATTGAAGATACTAATAATGTTTCATATGAAAGAACAGCACCGAAGGAAGACGAAGTTGAAAGGTCTATACCATTCGTTATTAAGAATATAAAAGATATGAAAACTTATAAACATTATATTTATTCATTTATTTCAGAAAAAATGGAAGCAACCCATAAAACATCATCTCATCATTTTATAGCTATTCATACATTCCTTTTCAAAGTTGTGAAATTAAATAAGACAGGAATTAGATTTAATGTATCAGGGTACGCATTCTTGAGTAAATTAAAATGTATTCGTCACGTCGCAGATGATAAAAATTTATGTGTTCTTAATTCATTTTATGGACTTTAGCCCTGGACTTTAAAAAAAATAAACTTTATTTTTATTTATTTTTTAATTTTTTATTCTTACATAAATGAACAAAAACGGAACAGCTAAAATGAATGATAATCAAATAAGAGCCGAAGGTAGAAGGTTATTTAAACGCTTCTATAACATTCCTGATGGTGTTAATCCTAAAACTCGTAGAAGTTATTTAAATGAAGCCATAGATGCATATGAAGGATTTGACATTTCATCAGAAAGTGAGAGGTTAGCAAGAATGTTAAACGTTAATATTGATTTTTATTATTGTGACCCTCAACCAGAAGACGTAGACATAAATAAGGTAGACTTTCCATTAGTGGAATCAATAATGATAGATCCAGAATTTGAAACAGTAAATATTTTATTAACACAGAGTCCATGTGGAAAACTTCACGCTGACAGAATTACAGACGTTGAAGCACTCACAGGATATAAAGTTTGCCCCTTTTGCAAAGAAGAAGTATATTCTATCCGTGATGACCCAGAAAGGAAAAACCAAAGAAGATTTTTAAAACATTGTGAGAAATGTAAAGAAAATAATGGAAGATTAATTCAAGACGTTCAATTGCAAAACACACAACAACCATATGCACCACATATCACGAAACAGAAGATATATCAATGGCTATTAGCTCACAATTTGCAGGAATATTATAAACCAACAAGATATTATATTACTTTTGACTTCGAAACATTAGAGACTAAAGAAGAACTTCAACTTTCTGAATGTGCAACTTTGAACGCTTACTTAAAACCATTTATGGTATCATCAACTGTCAAAATAAAGCCGCAAACGGACTCTTTGAGTCCTGAAGGTCTTTCAGACCGAAGCGGCGAGGTCGTAGACCGTGATAAAACATTTACGAGGAATTTTTGCTTAACATCAAGTGATTCGTTCATCTCTGATTGGATTGAATTTTTATTTTCAACCTGTTCATTAGTTGCTAAATCAAATATTGAACAATATGAAGAATTAATGAAGCCGCAAACGGACCAAACGGCGGGGACTTTGTCCCATACATTAAATGAAAAACAGAAGGAAGCGTTTAAAGAACTTCTAGATGAGGAATTCAATAAAGTGAATATCATAGGTTTTAATTCGGGAAAGTTTGATTTAAATTTAATTCTTCGTGATTTAAACACTGCAAAATGGAAAATAAAATCAATGCTGGGTTCTTCTTCTCAATTTAAGCAAATCATTGTAAAGAAAACAAACTGTCCATATGAATTAAGATTTATTGACATCAGAA